GCCGGCAGAGCGGCGGCAGAGCACTTCATAGCCCTATAACCTCGATTTAAAAAATGTTTGTGTTTATCGATAGATATGACCAAAAGACACACACAGAGTACAACAGCTAAGGTCAGATGGTCATGTCATGGCTAGATCGACTCGGCTATTGATCCTGATCAATAATATATATACTTTCCTCTAACATGTTACATCATTTTTAACGAGTTCTATATACCCTTTTACTCTACGAGTAACGGGTATAAAAAAGGTGTGTTAGGCTGATACACGTTAGACGTGCTTCATTGTGTCTAAACAGATGTTCTTTGTTTTGATTTGACAAGGAAATTTCTCCCGCCTTATTTATCGGCTGTTTTTGTTTTTGTTTTTGGTCGTTACCCAGTCGGAAAAAACACGCTTCCAGGATGTGTTATTTTACGCTTCCTTTGCATGCGAAAAACGCATTCCAGATCCCGGAAAGCTCCCTTTCCTTTTTGTTCGAGACGGGACAAAAAGCAAGCCTTCTTTTAGAACCGATCTAAGAACTTAACCATTGGAAGGTAGTTTCAACTTCGGAAACGCTCGGGTTTCCCTTCCAATTGTACTCTACAATGGAAGCATTCTACAGCGCACTGTTACAATGAACATAGAAACGTTCCTAGGGAACCTTCCTGGATAGGTTCCAAAGCAAGCATTGCGTAACACATGTAAAGAATGAATATAGATCCCTTCCACAAGAACACATTTAGTATGATTCCAAAACATGCCTTCTAATAGTCTTACCCAAGAATGCAAATATTATCGTTCCCAAAAAAGCTATTGGGAACCGTTTTTTTTCAATTTCAATTTTTATTTATTTAATTTTTTTTTTTATAAAAGTTTGATTTAAAATTAATTGTAATTAATTATAATTACTATAATTACTCCGGGTCGTTTTTGTCTTTTCTCATCCTTTCTGCTATACTTTTAGCCTTGTAAATTTTGTTCTTAGCCCTAGTGAAGGCCAGTCAAAGGTCTTTTATGTGGTCGGTTAAGCGGTAGCCGTCCCTCCTTTGTGATATAATAATGAGAAAATATAATATAAAATATAATAATGAAAAGGAAATATGTAATTTTTTAAAATATGATTGTAAGTTTGTAAAACACTTACCGAATAACGTTTCATTTAAATGAATGTAGGACGCAAAACCTTCCCTGCCCCTAGTACCGCCATAATTAAGCTCCATTATCAAACTTGGACTTAATATCCTACTGAAGATCTAGATTTTCCGAATTCAAAAGTTTTTAAAAGTGCATCAAGTTGAACTCTAACATTATTATTATGGTACCATTCTAATAGTTTGATGCACTTTTATCCGATTCGGGTTCACATAAATTTGGGCATTCATTTCCAGAATTATTTTCTGTATTAAAAGTAAGAGCTCTAGCAGCCGATTGATGAAGCTCTTCCTTTTGTTTTTTCGTTAAACGGTGAATATTTTACCGCGACATTCTCCTCATTTTAAATTATATTAATTTTATTTGTTTTGTAAAATATTTTTTTTCAATTAAATTATTATTTTTTTTATTTATGTAATGTTTAATGTTTATTTAAATTTATGTTTATTTTTCTTAAATTTTTGTTCACTTAATTTGTGTCCTTAGGTCCACCCTAAAAAACACAACTTGTACGTAGATGTAAGTCCACCCTAGGTAGAAGTACAAGGAAGAGAGAAAAAAGGGAGCACACAAATAATATATAAATTACCTTTTGTCTTGAAATAGTTTTCCTGGAATTAAACGAAAATAATATTAAAAACGCTTTAATTAAATTAAAACGCAAGTCTTATTGAAGTGTACGCTCCAAAAAAATAATTCTTTTTATTTGTTTGATTAAGAGCCACACACAGTTTTAGGAACAATTTGTTTACATTTGTTTTGGCCGTACGCTGTTTTTAAGACTGTTAATAAGTGTTTATAAATTTAATATTTTTTTGGTACAGGTACACATCACTTATTGTTTTAATTAATACAGTGTTTGGTTCATGTTATTTTATTAACAGTATTGGAACTCCTATTTAGTTTGTTTATATCAACACTATACTTACTTGAAAATTAAAGTCGCAAAGAGTATATTAATTTCACAAATCACAGAGGTACCAGCTATTCCAATTGAAAATCAAAATGCAAGTGGCGAGAAATGCAAAAGAAACGAAAAAGACCTCTCGCTTTCTTGCATTTTCTCTTTTGTTCTTGTCGTTTGCTTTTTAGAGTACCGTTTTGTTTGGTTACTCCTTGTGAATACAGTGGCGGAGGAAACTATAGCGCCGGCAAATGTAAAATAATAATTCAAAACAAAATCACGCTTTGAAAAGAAATCATGTAATCGTGTATATATTATTACCTAAAATTAAAATATATAAAAAACTGATTCAAATTAATAATTTTCTAATACAATATACAATAAATATTATTATTAATAAAATTAAATATTAATATATTTTACAGAATTAGATTTAGGAAAAGTTTAACAAGTCATATACCACAAACATAACAAAGCGTTCAGATATTGTTTATAAAGCTTAAAAGTGAATATATTTACGTCGCTGCTGTTCATGAAAGAAGCTTTTTTTATTGGAATGCGTTTTATAAACTTCCGACTGGGTAGTGGTGAAAGATAATATACCGAATCTCAAATATCGAGTAAATATCTAGTAAACATTAGTATAAATCCAAATTTTGTAGACTGATGTACCTTGACGCATTTTACCCCATCTCTGCCTATACAACACCTATGTAAAAATAAATGCGTCTGGCCACAGACGCAATGACGCAATGAAGCAACCCAAGTGTAGCTAGGCCCTTACTCTTCGAGTAACGGGTATAACAATTTTAAACAAACCTTATTTTTAAATGTTTATAATAAAAATCAATAACAAAAGTTAAAAATTTTAAACAAACCTTATTTTTAAATGTTTATAATAAAAATCAATAACAAAAGTACCACTTGTTATCTTGGGACCCAGCCAGACTAACTTTTGGCACAATTCGAAAGAGACCTTATTTCAGCACAATTGAGATGATTTTTGAGGGAGAGGATATAAGTAGTTAAGTATGTATAGCTGCGTCCGAACGAAAAAATTGCGAACTACGTCGGTGACCTGCATTGCACTTGCTGGATAAAAGCTCAGATGTTCTCCGATGGTAGATTTTGTTTTTCATATATCAGGAATGATGATGCGCGGCCCGTATTTGCGCTCACATACTGCTGCGGTGAGGTCGGCGCTGCTGTAAGGAAAATAACATTTAGCTCTGCACGCAGCACGGTACAAGTTCTTGGATTACCCGAGTTTCCCGGCAAAAGGAGATGTTATCCACAGTCATTCAAATATATATAAAAATTAAATATATAATATTCATTATTAATATTAAGAGATATTAAAGGCCTTAATATCTCCCTTCCGCCTTTTTGTCTGTTAAATTTTGCGGCTATGTACAAAATGGAGAATGGCTTCGATGATTTAGAGCCGGGTAAAACGACACCATGGATCAGCCAACCGGCGGAAGATCTGTGGCGACGAATACGTCGAGTTAGACAGGCATGCGGCATCTCGTGAGATCGCCCAGATAGGAGTTACTCACTTAACCATTTTAAATTATCTGCAGAAGGCTGGATACACAAAAAAGCTTGATGTTTGGGTGCCGCATGATTTGACGCAAAAAATCTTTCTGGACGCCTGCGATATGCTGCTGAAACGAAACGAACTCGACCCATTCTCGAAACGGATGGTGACTGATATAAAAAAAAAGAAAACGGTCGTGCTCGAAGGCCGGTGAATCGTCCCACACAGTGGTCGGGATTGACGGCCGGGAACGAATTTCTGTGTGTCTGGTGGGATTGGAAAAGAGTCATCCACCATGAGCTGCTCCCAAACGGCCAGACTCTTAATTCTGCCATCTAATGCGAACAGCTGAAGCGCTTGAAGCAGGCCAGAAGCGTCTAGAATTGGCCAACAGGAATTGGTCAACGACAGACCTCACACGTCAGAAGCTACTGGAGCTTTTATGGATGCAACCACCGGAATAGCCCGGACAGCGCCAAGTGATTACCACTCTTCCTGTCCATGGCGAACGCCCTTGGTGGTGTAAAGATGAACTCAAAAGAGTCTTGTAAAAAGTGGCTGTCCGAGTTCTTCGCAAATAAGGAAAGTTGCTTCTACGAATGGGTATTATGAAGTTGCTGTCTACATGGAAACAGGTTATCAAACAAAACGGAGCATATTTGATGTAAATCCGATCACTGTAACACTTTTCATAAAGCACTGAATAAAGAGCAAAATTGCGGAAGAGAGATATTTGATAACCTTATATTTTACTATTTCGACATGCCCTACATATCGTTTCTTACTTGTAGAGAGATCGGTATTTTAAAATTCAATCTGCGACCTTGTTTATTTTTTTAGGTTCTACAAATTAAACAAATTAGATGAAATTAAAATTTGGGCACCTTGTTTATTTTTGTAGGTTCTAGAAATTAAACAAATTAGATTAAATTAAAATTTGGGCATAGAAAACACTTCTGTCTATGGCGGTCAAAGTCGAAATCCCCTTAGGCAAATTTTTGTGCCGCTATAAAATATGTTTTACGATAAAATAAAAAATTTGGTTTAAAATAATAAAAAAAAAAACATTAGAAATGTTTCAAAACGTAATTTATAAAATGTATTTTCCAGTTTCCAATTTAAGAGAACCATATGAAGTATTGATTGATTTTTGTTGCTGAAAAATACAATAGGAAAGATTTATTTAATTTAACATTAAAAGCGTAGAAAAAAAAATTACTCAATCATTCTTAAGCTTCAATTGGCACCTTTCTTGACAGTTTGTTTTATCGGATTATTTATTAAATTTTTAAATACAACTTTTGTAGAATTTTAAACCAGACATTATTTTACAGAAAATTGATGTCAGAACTCCACTTACATTTTAACGTATTTTGTACGTTTACAAAAATCTAATACCCTTATTTTGTTATTTTTCAGGTGGGGGCCTCGTCATTGGATCTGCCGTATCTCTATTATTTTTTAAAAGAGGAGCGTGGCCTGCATTGATTGGGGCTGGATTTGGAATCGGCGTCGCATATAGAACATGTGAAAATAACTTAAATTCTTTTAAGTGAATAAATCTTTGTCGCTTATTAATAAAAATAAACCATTTACAAAGCAACAAAAAATGTGCTATAAAGTCGTTATACTGGTTGGTGTATGTTTCAGTCCGGCCATGTTCGTTTACATAAAATTGATGTTCGGAAATTTTCTAAAAAGTAAGCCGACTAATAAATGAAAGTTTTCGAGCTTACGTAAGAGTCGTTTAAGTTATTATTTTGCTAGGGAACTACGTGGCTTTTCGGGCAAGTGGCTAGGGGCAGTCACATAGCATATTTGTCTCATATTTTGGTATTAAGGAAATTACATTTTTTAAAGAGGACCCTTTGAATCCTGCCACTCAGATAACTTAAGATCCATCTAGGTAGGTCAACTGGGAACCCTAAGAAGTCGAGTTTCCGAATGAAAAGTAAGTGGTTTACTGAGTCAAATGTTTTACAAAAGTTAGTGTACATGACTTCTTCAAGAAGATTAATTAGAGGCCATTTATCACAAATGAACTGAACTCTAAAATACTAGTGGTGGTTGATATCCTTTTTAAAAATCTGAATCAAGGACTTTGACTTTAGGTTAAGACCTTTGATGTGAAATCATTTTTTTTTTTAAATAAGATTGATTTTTTGCACACATTTCGATTTTTTACGCATTAAAATTGTCTTTAAAATACATGGAACATTTATCTTTAAAATATAAATATATTGAACGTATTATTTTCCAGAAAACAATTTATTTATCTTTAAAATTAGCTTCTTTAAAACCGGATTAGTTAAATACAGAATAAAGAAATACAGAATACTCAACAGAAAATCGAGAAACGGAGTTTCGAGTATGCAACGAGTGAACATAATCAGTCCTTAACCGCGGGTTCAGGCACATGTGACTCCTAGTTCTGTACTCATGTTTCTCGAAGCCCATGGCCTGTTAGTCCTGCACTCCTTGCTTCTAATCTTCGCCGCTGGTGGCTCTCTCGTAAGCTACTCCTCGCTGTGCTGCTCCGCTGCTGCCCAAGATCTCACTCGTGGTGCTTCTGCTGCTTTAGGTTCTGCTGCTGTCGGTTTGAACGGCTGCGCTCTTGAGTCTCGTTGGCGCCCCAGCGTTTTACTCATTAGCTTTACTCTTGCTCTCCTCCGGTATTCTCTCTCTTTTTTTCTTATAGGTTGCCTACTTGTTCATTAAAACTATCGGTGTTTCTAGTGATTATACAACTCTAGGAATATTATTATATTATAGAAACAGAAAAATTTATTGAAATTGCTTGGGGTATGATCGTTATCGGGTGTGCGCGCCAACCTTATTCAGCATCCGTCCAAATGGCACCTAACGCACCAACAACATTAAGATCTACAACTTCAGCTAAGGTCTCAGTCACCAACAATGCAATAACGATTTCACTCTGATCTTCTGCAGCGGGTAAAACAACAACACCACCAAGAGTAAGCTTTCATGCCAATTACAAATTGGCAAGCTTAAGCTAAACCCTTAAAAAAGAATGATCTTCGGGTCAATTCCTTTCGCCAAGGAAATAAAAGGCATATATTTATTCGCTAGAAAAGCTCTAGTTTTCGAGGCTCGAGCGGGTTAAAATAATAGATAAGATTGGGAAAGATAACTTAAATGTTATTATGCATTCCAAAGAACATATACGTGAAACAAAACTTCAAACTTCAAACAAAACAGTTGCTAGTTTCCGAGCCGTTTCGAAATATTTAAACGGTTATAAAAATAATTATTATACGCACAACGTCAAAAGTAGCAACCACTTGCAAGCTGTGCCAAAAGGTATAGAACCCGGTGTGACCTATACGAAATCGTAGAGGCTTTTATGGCGAATGTTTTTTTTTTATCAAAAATGTGATAAACAGAATGAACAAAAATAACAAGCGACCACCACTTTCCAAGGTCGCGCTGTAGCCAAATAGCAGCACTTTAAAGAAAAACGAACTGCAACCGATCTTCAAGTTGCAGTACCTTTTACCATAGAAGAGCCGAACGAATAAAACGGGTCAGTGCAATGTACAAATTGTCAGTGTGTGTAGCTTGTGGAGACCACCTCAACTCCGAACCTTGACATGCCAACAAAGAAAACTCTCAAACAAAAAGTATGGTAATTGCGGAGGAAACCACACAGCAAATTATAAGGCCTGTTCAGTCTATAAGGAGCTAAAGAGTCGAATCCAACGACAACGGCACGCTCTCAGAACACACAATATGCCCACTTTACCTTACAAACGACACAAGAAGCTTTACGCGGAAGAGCAGCCAAAATCTCATTTGGCCCTTCAATTACAACCAACTGCATCTCTTATGCCAGTTTACTATGAACAGGAACAACTCACGCTGAGCAAAGAATTGAAAAAATTCAGCAGGTCATGCGCCACAGATCTAGACTATGATAATCAATTTGCAATAAAGTACGATGGTCTTTAGTCATTAATAGGACCGCTATGCAAAATCAGCAGTCCAAATAAACCATGTCTTTCCTACGAATATTTCTGTGAAAAGCCAATGGTGTCTCACGGCATAAACTTGAAATAAGTTAATTCCTGAACGAAATTCACAAGTAGATACGGTACCTATCATACAGATGGTAAGGCCCAGAAGGGAACAATCTTACTTGCATAAGACCTAGATCATTGACATCCGAAAGACATTTTTTAATTAATGCTATTCGATCATGGAATCAACTCCCAAACCATCTTAAAAATATTAGCAGTGCCACGCAATTCAAGATAAAATTATTCACACCCCTTAAAAACACTATTACGTAAATTAAAGTAAAAATAGAAGGCGACTTAGGTTAGTTTTTATGAAAATTAGTTTTAAGTATAATGTAACAATTAAATATTTGCAAACTCGTAGTGACTAGCGCATTAACTTATAAGTTCCAAACTTGTAGCGTTAGGATGAAATTTTATAATAAATACAAATACAAATACTAAACTAAAAAGAGACCGTATCAAACACCTTTTTCACCAAAACTTTGCATAATATTATGTGCACGCTACATCGATAAAGTTACAATCGGGAAACTTCAAGCTTGCCATTGCCGCTGCCTACTGTTCACCTCGCTTTACAATCTCTGAAGGCCAGCTGATGTCTCTGTTCACATTGACTGAGCTCGGGTTAAAGTTTTGTTTATAATTTGCATTGCGCTAACAATGCCTTCCAACATACATTGTACAAAATAATTAATTAGGTTTTTTTATTGCTTTGCTATTTATTTATTGAATCTTTTCCTTTCGGATACTAACAATAAGTGTATCAAATAACTAACAGTCGTATGACTAAGTTATGGGGCCCTACTCCGACATGTGAGTGGCACGAACAGCTGATCTTGGTTTGTTTAATTCTGAATCCAAAAGAAATAATTTAAAAATAATAAATGAGTGAGTTTACTCAACTCTTAAATGCTCAGCAGGACTTCCATAATGCGACCGAGGCATTTGCCAACTTGGACGACAAGGAAGAGAAGCTGATTGCATTGTTTGACGGGTTTGCAATGCACAGTTTCTAAAAAGGGCAAGGATCGCCGTATATGTGGGAGTTATTTTATGCCAGAGATCCAGCAGTAGTGCATTGTGGAACTGCGAGCAGAATTTGCAGCGTGCGCTCTAGTTTTCTGTCGTTTTTATACAAAATAGATTTTATATTCAAAAGACATCAAAAATGGCGCCAACCTTGCATATAGAAAACAGTTCTTGTAGTGGTGGCACGAACAAAATATCGTTAGACATCGCTATTTTCTGATATTTTTTCTAATAACGTTCGGGGCGAATGGTTTTTAATCGCATTTAATAATCGCATTTATTTTAAATGCTGCATTTAGCCTTATCGGATTCCCTGTGTAAATAAATGCGCATTTGGCTTAATGCGTTTTAATGCGGCAATGAAATCAGGCTATAAATCTATAAATGTATCCTCCAAAAAAATTCTGTCAAAATTGATTCCAAAATTTATGGAAGATATGTCACTTGACAGTTGTTGGCACCTTAGTTCCTTTTTCTTGACCGCAAAACTTTGAACCGCATTTTCTCAAAACCATGTTTTTCATATTGGCGTAAAAGACTGCTAAAAAAAGAGTGAACCGCTTTTCTTTACCTAGCTTTTTTTTAGAGCATACAAAATTATTATCGATATTCTACGGACATGAAATAAAATCATTTTTTGACCATTTTTAACGCAAAAATAATGAAAAATTTGTGGAGAATATACAACCATTTTTTCCAAACCTAATTTTTTTGGTAAATGTTGCAGTTTTTCGAAAATCGTAGAATACCGACTATCAAAAATCCTTTTCTGTAGAATCACGTTTGGTTTGAATTGATCAACCAATTTTCCATTTTTTTTTCTTTAAACAAAGCCCTAAATATATTGACTTCAATTTTTGTGCACTGTTTTTATTTTTCCAGGATTTTCTTTTTTCTCGATTCCAGGAAATTTTGAACGACTTTTTCTATAATTAGAGGCGATTTCGCCCTCAAATTGGGACTTAGAACCATATCGATTGCGGCGCTCAGCATCCACCGACCCCATCTGGTTTCCGAACGAATTTAAGGGGAGGATAAAGGGTTGTCATGGTACGAGAAAACCAAGTATTTTGTTGGACTTATTTTAAGCAAGCCCTTTTGAGTTTTTTTTAAATATGGTAAGGACGCGTATAAAGTTAAATTGAAAAGTTCTTTGTTGTTTGAGTAATAGTATCTTAATTTAAGGTAAGATTTTAGCGAAACGTGTTTTGTTAGGACGTTTTTCATCGACTTCGGCAACTCTAGCCTACAACACTACTTGTAAAAAGTTCACAACGCTGCCACCAGAAGTTTCCAGCACTGATTAGCTTAGAGTGATACCGCTCTAATTATCCCCCTGATCTAGTGTCGGGTGCTCTGTTGCAGCTGATTTAGCATACGGTCACTTAAATAAAACGCGTTGATCTCTTTGGATTGTGTTAGCCAGTTCAGTGCGATTGATTTTGAATGAATTGCCTAGGTGATACAATCTTAGCCTGCAACGGGCAACGCGTTCGATTATAGAGCAGATGGTAGGTAACCTATGGCGGTTTACGCTATGG